ATGGGAAGTAAGTGGGAAGAGAAGAGCGGTGTGTTCGTGATATCGTGTACGGGTAGGGAAGTGATGGATGAATGAATAGGAATTGGTTGTTTTACTATCATCGCTTGTTTTTGTTCGCTATGTTTTTGTTTGCAGTTTTTTTTTTTTTTTTTTTTTTGTATTCGTATTCCTTCTGCTTAATTCCTCATTTTTGTTTGTTTTGTATTCGTAAATTCTGTTTTTTCATATTTCATACGGTATTATGTATTTATTGTATATATTATTGGTGTTTATCAGAGCAATAATAATCATAATGATGAAATTGATAATGTTGATATTAACGGTAGTAATGATGATGAGGATGATAAAATTAGCGGTAGCAGTATAATAAAATTATTATAATGATGATGATAATAATAGTACAGTAATTGTAAATGTAATAATAGTGATGCACAGAATAATGAAGATCATTATCATTATTGTTATTTTACTATTATTACTATTACCACTATTTGCCATTATATAAAAAATATCTTATTATCATTGATTTTATCCTATTGTTTTCCTTATATGGAGGACGCTGGTGATGCTGTATTCTGTATTATTCTTATCATTATCAATAACATTGTTATTATCATTACAGTTATTGACATCATAAACGCTGCTGTTATTAACGTTATCTTCTTCTCTTTCGTCACATTCATCTTCCCTTTTATCGTTTAAGATTAATCTCATGCTCTCCTCCCCTCCACCCGCCCACCCCCGCCTTATCACCTCTTGCTTCAGATATCTCTAGCTTTCTCTCCATCTCCTTGTTTCCTTCTTTCTCTGTCTTCATCATTGCTCGTCTTCATATTCCCGTAATTATCTTACATAATTTTAAGTCAATTTTTCACTGTTCTTGCTCCATAAACATCACTATCACCACCAACTGATGCTACTCACCATCAGATCAGCAACACCATCTTCTTTGTCGGGTTTCATGTCAACATGAGCATATCACCATTTCCTTATAGTCCCTTACCATACCACACCATCATCTTACAGACACAGTCACACCCAACCACACCATTATCACCACCACTCCCTCATCACCACTACCCTGCATCACACTTCATACCATCACACTCCACCATCACCACCACCACTTACAGCCATCACCACTACCCTCATCCACGCCATGTTCACTGCACCTCCACCATCACCACCTTCATCATCACTACGCATACCTCCAACATATCATCACCACTATCACCACCATACAAGCCATCAACCACTCACAACGCATCACCATCACCACTTACTCATCACCACCTCCACCATCACACTATCACCACCACACACCTACACCCATTCACCCCATCAGCCACCACCCTCATCCCACCTCCACCTACCACCTTATTCATCACCGACCTACCACGCACCATCCCCCCCCACATTCTCACCACCCCCTCCTTCCGCAACATGGAAAGCCGAGAAGGAAGGCGCTCGATGTCCGTTGCGGGCAGAAGCTTGATTGAAGACCGCGGTCAGGAGGGAAAATTAGCCAAGATGAGAGCTTGAAGGAGAGGGAGAGGGAGAGGTGGGAGGAGGGAGAAGGAAGGAGGGAAGGGAAGAGGGAGGGGGAAGAGAGGGCAGAGGGGGAGGGAGAGAGAGGGAAGGAAGGAAGGAGGGAGAGAGAGGGGGAGGAGGAGGGGAAGGAGAGAGAGGGGAGGGGAAGGAGGGAGAGAGGGGGAAGGAGGGAGAGAGGGAAAGGAAAGGGAAGGGAGAGGGGGAAGGGGGAGGAAGGAGGAAGGGGAGAGGGAGAGGGAGGAAGGAGAGGGGGAAGGAGGGAGGGAAGGAAGGAGAGGGGGGGAGGAAGGAGGGGAGAAGGAAGGGAAGGGGAGAGGGAGAGAAGGAGGAAGGAGGGTAAGAGGGGGAAGGAGGGAGGGGAAGGAAAGGGAAGGGAAGGAAGGAGAGAGAGGAACGGAGGGGAGAGAAAGGGGAAGAGGCGAGAGAGAGAGGGGGGGGACGGAGGGAGAGAGGGAGGGGGAAGAGAGAGAAGCTTCGAGGAGAAGGGGAGAGAGCGGGAGAGAGAGGGGGGGAAGGAGGAGAGGAAGGAGGGAGGGAGGGAAGGGAGAGAGAGGGGGAAGGAGGGGAGAGAGAGGAGGGGGAAGGGGAAGAGGGAGAGAAAGGGAAGGAAGGAGGGAGAGAGAAGGAAGGAGGGAGAGAGAGAGGGGGGAAGGAGGGAAGAAGGAAGGAAGGAAGGGGAGGGGGAAGGAGGGAGGGAGGAGGGAGGCGAGGAAAGGGGAGAGAGGGAAGGATGAGAGAGGGAAGGAGGGAGAGAGAGAGGGGGACGGAGGGAGGAAGCGAAGGAGAGACAGGAGGGAGAGGAAGGAGGGAGAGAAAGGGAAGCGGGGAGGGAGAGAGAGGGGGAAGGAGGGAGGGAGGAGGAGGGAGAAGGAAGGAGGGAGAGAAAGGGAAGTAGGGTAAGGGGGAAGGAAGGATGAGAAGAGAAGAGAGGAGAGAGTACAATAGAGAGTGTTGAGGGAGAGGGGGAAGGGAGGATAGAGAGAAAGGGAAGTGGGAGGGAGGGAGAGGGGAGGGAGGGAGGATAGAGAGAAAGGGAGAGGGGTGGGAGAGAGGGGGAAGGAGGGGAGAGGGGGGGAGGGAGGGAGAGGGAGGGAGAGAGGATAGGAAGGAGGAAGAAGAGAGAGGGGGAAGGAGGGAGGGAAGGAGGGAGGGAGGGGGAAGGAGGGAAGAGGGAAGGAGAGAGAGGGGGGAAGGGAGGGGGGAAGGAGGGGGGAAGAAGGGAGGAGGAAGGAAGGAGGGGAAGGAGGAGGGAGAAGGAAAGGAGGTAGTAGAAAGGGAAGAGCGGAGGGAGAGAGAGGGGAAGGAGGAGGGAAAGGAAGGAGGGAGGGAAGGAAGAGGGAGAGAAAGGGAAGAGGGAGGGGGAAGGAGTGGGGGAAGGGGAGGGAGAGGGAAGGAGGGGGGAGAGGGGAAGAGGGGGAAGGAGGGAGGGAAGGAAGGAGAAAAGGAGACGGGAAGGGGAGGGAGAGGGGGAAGGGAAGGGAGAGAGAAGGGAAGTGGGAGCAGGAAGGAGAGGAAGGAAGGTTAGGGGAGAGAGGAAGGGAGAGGGAGAGGGGAGGAAGGGAGGGGAGAGAAGGGGGTAGGAGGAGGGAAGGAGGAGGGAGAGACAGGGAAGGGAGAGGGAGAGGGGAGGGAGGATAGAGAGAAGAAGAAGGGGAGGAAAGAGGAGGGGGAAGGAGGGAGGGTAGGAGGAGAGAGAAGGATGACGGAGGGAGAGGGAAGGAGGGGAGAGAGAAGGAAGGAGGGAGAGAGGGAGGAAGGAGAGAGAGAAAGGGAAGGGAGAGGGAGAGAGAGGGGAAGGAAGGAGAGAGAAGGAAGGAGGGAGAAGAAGGAGGGAGGGAAGGAAGGAGAGAGAAGGAAGGAGGGAAGAGGGGGGAAGGAGGGAGAGGGAGGAAGGAGGGAGAGAAAGGGAAGGGAGAGAGAGGGGGGAAGGAAGGAGAGAGAGGTAAGGAAGGGAGAGAAGGGAAGAGGGAGGGGAAGGAGGGAGAAGGAAGGCGAGGCGAGAGAATGGAAGGGAGAGGGAGAGCGAGGGGGAAGAAAGGGGAGAGAAGGAAAGGAAGGGAGAGAAAGGGAGGGGTAGGAGAGAGGGGGGAAGGAGGGAGGGAAGGAGAGGAAGGAAAGGAGGGAAGGGAAGGGAGAGGGAGAGAGAGGGGGAGGAGGGAGGGGGAAGGAGAGAGAAGGAAGGAGGGAGAGACTCGGGGAGAGGGAGGAAGGGAAGAGAGGAAGAGGGCCGGAAGGGAGGAGCGAGAGAAAGGGGAGAGGAGGGAGAAGAGGGGGGAAGGAGGGAGAGAAAGGAAGGGGGGAAGGAGGAGGGAGGGAGACTAGAGGGGGAAGAGGGAGGGAAGGAAGGAGGGAGAAGGAGGAAGGAGAAGGAGGATAAGAGAGAGGGGGTAAGGAGAGCGTGTTTGAAGGAAGTTGTTGGAGAAAAAGGGGAAGGGAGGAGGGGAGAAAGGGAAGGAGGGGAGGGTAAGGAGGGAGAGAGAGGGGGAAGGAGGGAGGCGAGAGGAGGAGGGGAGAGAAGGGAGAGGGAGAGAGAGAGGGGGGGAAGGAGGGAGGGAAGGAAGGGAGGGAGGAAGGGAAGAGGAGGGAGAGAGAGGGGGGGAGAAAGGGGGAAGGAAGGGAGGCGAAGGAAGGAGGGAGAAGGAAGGAGGGAGAGAAAGGCGGGAAGGTGGAGGAGCCCGAGAGGGGGAAGGGAGAGAGAGAGAAAGGGTAGTGGGAGGGAAGGAGTTGGAGGGGAAGTAAAAAAGGATAAAGGAGCAGAGAAAACAACCCCCGAAAGGGGGAGAGAAAGGGAGGTGGGAGGGAAGGAGTGGGGGGACAGGAAGGAGGGAGAAAAAGGGAAGGGGGGGATGAGGGTTGAAAGGAGGGAGGAGAGAGAAGGGGAAAGGAGAAGAAAACAAAATTACAGAGAGGGGGAAGGGAGGGAGGGAGCTTGACGGAGGTAGAGGGAAGGAAGCGGTGAGGGATAGAAGTGAGGGGAGATACGGATAGAGGAAGAGGTGGAAGGAGAGAGAAAGAAAGGAAGGCGTAAGCAATGAGCAAGAGAGGAGAGAGCGGAAAGGGAGTGATGTGGGGAGGAAACTAGTGAAGAGAGGGAGGAAGGAAGAAGAAAGGAGGGAATGAGAAGAGGGAAGAAGGAAGGGAGAGGAGAGATGAGAAGAGAGGAAGTCGAGAGGGAGAGAGACGGGAGGAGAGTCAAATGCAGGAGGGAGAGGGGAGCGGGAGCGATTTAGTAAAGGGAATGAGACGGACGGAGAGAGAAGGATGGGAGGAGGAAGGAGACAGAGATGGAGATGGAGAGCGAGAAGGAAGAGAAAGGGAAAGTGTGGGAGAAGAGAAGGG